CTGGGCACCGCCACCGGCCACAGGATGGCGGGGGCCAGACACTCCTAGACCTCACCCCCAAACCTTTCTTGGAGACCACGCTTCCTCCTAGTTTGTATACCCCAGTGTTTCTTTAACAAAGAAGATTCTCACTTATAGCCACAGCCTGGTTCATGTCTGATGTTGCATTCCAGGGAAATGGAACATACTGGAGCTAACCTCGATGGGGCGGTTGCTGGCACACTCACAGAAAGAAAACAAGGAAAGAAAACCATTTAGGGTAGCAGATCTCCTCTTGCCTTTGCATCCATCAGAAGCTTTTATCTGCAGGCTCCCCCTCCACAGCCCTGTTTTTCTGTGGACTAGAAATGGATCTCATAAAGCAGCTATTTTTGTAAGGGCTGTAAACCTGCATTTAAGTTTTTACAAGATCCCAAATAAGATTTCCAGTCATTGGCTTGGGCTTGCTCAAGTAAAAGCGGATGCAAACTCTGAGGGAGAATATATATTTCCGCCCCCCCCCCCCTCCCCCAGCAGAGCTGGTCATGGATGCTTGCGAACAGAGACAACTGCAAGAAACAAGGCCAAACTGAACGCCCAGAGAGCCCAGTCCCCACTCCTGTCCCTGCTTCCACTGGCTGACCCTGGGTTACCTCCAGCCCAGTGCTCCCTCATTTCCCACCCAAAGACAGGGTTGTTTACCTGATAACTGTGGTGATTTGATTAGGAGACTGAGGCAGAGGGTGGTGTGGGGAAGGAGAGGAGAGAGGAGAAGGAAGAGAAGAAGGAAGAGGGGGAAGGGGAGGAGGGACAGGACAAGGAGGAAGAGGAAGAAGAAAGGAGGAAGAGGAGGAAGGAGAAGAGGAGGAGAGGAGGAAGAAGTAGAAGAGGAGGAAATAATTAGAAACAGAAGGGGAAAAGAAAGGGAGGGAAGGAGAGGAAGGGAAGAAGGGAGGGAGGGAGAGAAGCAGCAGAAAGTCAAGCATCTCAGAGTACCGGATTCTGACGTCTATGAGATCACGAGTACAGTGTGCACACATGTGTCAGCACATGTGGGACTTTTTGGGGCGTATGCTCTGATGCTGGCCTCCGTCTTTTGAGGCATTTGGTGCGTGAGTGTTGAGTTTGTACTTATTTGCTCTATCTACTTAGGTCTAGCGTTGGCTTCTTACATGCGTATTCCTGCTTTAGATTAGTAAAGTTCTAGCTATGTTTTGGTTTTACCATGAGGAGATAGACAGCTTCATTTGCAGGGCAGAAAATGGCACAGTAGAACTCACAAAATGGGAGACTCCTCACAGCTCACCCTCATTACGCAGGTAGACCACAAGTCCAGGTTCACTCTCACAGCCGTGGCAAGGGTTCGATTCGGTAGATTAATGCATTTGAAAACAGAATTAAGATAATACATATGTGTCTGCTCAGGGGACAGGATTTTTTTGTCACAGAAACAGATCCATTTTATACCACACGTGGTTTTTTTTTTAATCTATGGCTTATTTGAAGTCCGACAATTTTGAGGTTAATCTTGTTGATTGATTAGTTGGCCTAGGCCAATTGGTACCAATACAGATTTGCAACCCTAGAGGAGGAAGCTTTTAGTAATGCCAGAGTGAAGCACTGGATCTGGAATCAAAGTTTTACAGGGTTGAATCTGCTGAGACTTGAGCTCTAAAAATCTCACAGTGTGACTTTATACTTCAAAGGGTCTAGAAGTTGGGGGGAAATCGGGGCATCATTAAAAGTAAAATGTGACTTCTGAACTCCTGGATAAGGTTACAGCTTTTCAAAAAAAGTATTGTACTTGTAGACAATTTAGGCATTAAGAGGTCGCTATGCTCTAAAATTAGAAGTCCTCAAGAAGAAAGAAGAATATAGGTTGGCTGAGCAGCTTGAGTCCTATTTTCTTTCTTAATTTTTAGGTAAAATAACATTATATTGTACTCACCTAACTAGGTTGCTTGTCTATCCAGTAAAACATAGCTTTCTTAGAAACAGTACGTTATACAGTACAAGCAAACAAGGCCAGCTATCAGAAGCTCATCTTCCTTAGGAAGTCTGACAGCATGTATTAGGGGTACTTATAACATTCATCAGTCAGCCAGTTTCTCTCATTTCCATTTTTGATCTCGCAAACATCTCACCATGACTCAAGCAATGTCAACCCATTCCTCGAAATGGTGTCCTTATTTTGGACAAAGAAAATATTACGAGAAACCACGCTCTCTAGGGAGAAACTGCTCCAACACAGGAACCAGACCTGTGTGTTATGTGGGTCAGCTTCTAATTGGGTGATTCTCTTAATGAACTCTGGATGTTTAATTGAGAGGTAACCTGTTGCTGTGAGTGTCCTCTCTGTGTGAGTTAGAAAAATTTTATGTCATTGATGAACATCTTTCCACACGGACAACATGGGCCTAAAAAGCCGAGTTCTTTCTGGGATGCCTGGCCTCTCACCTTTCTAGCCCCATTCCTTGGATCAAGGTAACAGAGCAATGCCTGTCCCCTCCCGTAACACTTGGCTCACTGCTGCTGGAAGAAGACACTGTCTGTTATTCAGGGACCAGTCACAGGAATGTTGTAACTTTCTAGGGCTTTGCTAAACTCTTGTGATCATAATAAGCATATCCAGTAAGAAAATATTGCTGTTGGCTTTTAGAATATTCCATATCTGGCACCTGATAATGCATAGTGGTTGCCTAATTGAAATTATTACTGCATGTCCATGTTCAACCTGGCATTGGCAAATGGCAGGAAACTGGGCCTCCGTTCTTTGCTGTTCTTTGCTGCCCTTCTTTCAGATTCTCCACTGGAGAGACATTATTAGGGTTGTACGACATGCAAGAACATGGGTGTCTTTGCACTGTGGGCAGTCAGTTCTCTGGACACCTTTGCTTTCAGCACCTCTCACAAGTACACTGCACATCTTCCTGAGGGGAACTGTGCTCAGTCTCCAGCACAAAGGAACCAAAGTGAGTCCAGGGAATGAAGGCCGTGCGGGCAGATGTGATGGGTTGTTTTCTTTACCAGGCCCAACTTCCAAGCACGAGCGTCCAGAAGTAGACATGCCAACAATAAAGTGCTGGGTCTGGGATGTTTTCTGGACATCATCTTTACAAAGCCACAACTATACTGTACGGAACTATTCAGAATGAAAATAAAGGGCACACCATGTCTTCCATCCTGATGACTGGCCGTATTGGTAAGGATCAGTGAGCTTTCATTGGAAAAGCTCTTGGCAAAGAAGGGCAGGGCTGAGTGGCTAAGTTGTAAGTAGAATCACAAAAATAAAACAATAGCTGAGAAGGAAGGGCGAGCAATCGGAGCGGGGAAGGGTGAGCTTGGCAGGGGACTGACTGCCGAGACGCATGGCCCAGGGTTCACCACCCACTGCTGGACTCTTGTGATTAGCTGCAGACCGTGAGCAAGAGCCTTTTCATGCTAATTTGAAGAGTCACAGACCCCCGCGTGGGCGTGTGCAGTGGCTGTCACAGCTGTCTGCAGGGCAACCCCCAGACAGCGACTCTAAAGCCCAGACCACAAGATTCTGCCATCAGTGAAAGAGTTTAAAAAAATTCCCTTGGAGTACTTTAATGGCAAACCGTCCTAAATGGAATTCAGCACTACCAGCTTTATAACAGAATTCCTCAACATGTGGGCCAGTGTGACACTTTGGTAGTACTATTGTTTTCTTTTAGGAAATCCCTTCCTCTTAGCTCCTGTTCCGGGGTGGCTCTTACACTGTCTTCTTTTAAACTAATCACAGGGTCTGATCATGCCTGATGGTGGTAGCAGGTACTTGTGGTTCTACCTGCTGCACCAAAAGCTGGAGTCCAGAAAGCTTTTTTATCTCAAGCACCTAGCACAGCGCTCAGGATACACTATTCCACTGAGTAATGTCTGCAGAAGCAGTAGACAACTGGTTAACAGGGCAGTGACTTGGATGGTGCCTAGGGATCATCAGGCTGTGGGAGGCTTACATGGAAGGACCGTCCAGGCAAAGGCCCTCCAATGAGGATTCTGTGGGTACAGTGCGAACCCGACTGGCACCACAAGCGTGTGAGCCACATGGGGAGGGAAGTCTGGGACCCTGGGGGTGGGCAAAGCATCAGAGATTCCTGGTGCTCTCATAGATGGAGGTCAAGGAAAGCGTTTGCCGAAGTGGATGTGTTCTCAATATATAAGCGAGATCCGATGGTACAGTGGGTAGGTTTGCGGTGGGGAGGGGAGTTCTTCAAGGCCTGTGCTGCCAGTGTAATTCCAAAGACCCTGTAAGATGCTGTGTGACATCACTCCCTCCAAACCACACGATACTAACACAGAACTCAAGCCCCTGCCCCACGCATCAGGGCATCCGTCAAAGACCCTGGGCAGCAGGGAGCAAAGGACTTTGGCAGCACATCTTATTGTTCCCCATCTGAGAGCTACGACGCACAGAAGCCACTGTCCAGATGCACCACAGGGCCTTGCCACACAAAACAGCACCGAGCAGATGCTCTAATAGCAGCGTCCGGTCACAATGAAGCTCCGCTGGCCAGGCTTCGCCATCTCCCATTGTGTGCTTCTCAGTGTGAGACTCTGACAGCAGGCTCCCATTCCCATTCCCAATCCCAGAAGGCATGTGTGTTCTGCTCACCAGGCTTTACCCACACCACCACGCCCTCGATTCCGGCTTCCAGGCAATGAAATAATTCTCATCTCTAAATGTGATAGCTCTTTTCAGAGAAAGCCATAATTGGTGGCTTTGCTGCCATGATTGGAGATGAAAGAGAGCAAGGTTGAAAAAAAAAAAAAACCAACCCAGAGACATTAATTTTCTTCGTGTGCCAATAGCTAGGATTTGGGGGATATTCAAGGGTTGACGTTCACTCTATTTCTGATTGCCTGAGATCGGAACACTTTCTATTGCCTCTCCCCAGGGCTCTGCAGAGATGTCTCAGAATCGGGGGATGGGGGTGGATATGGGGCTTGCTCTATGCTCTGTGGGGACGGCGCAGGTGGCCTCAGGGACCCGGTCCTACCTCGGAGCCGCTTCAGCCTCTGCTCCCGTCTCCTCCTCCGCAGGACCAGCAGGAGAACGAAGAGCACCAGGACCCCCACCAGGATGCAGGAGATGGTCACCAGCATCTTGAGCCCCTCATTGGTGGTCAGCCCCTCTTCGCTTTGGACGACTGACTTAATGAGTGGAGGAATTGTACCTGAAAGCAGGGCCACGGTGTTAGGCGGCTATTAATGAAGACGGTGTGGCGGAGGTTTTAGGGATGAGGGGTTACAAAAATCGCGCGGTGTGATCCGAGGGTGTCTGAGGCGATGAGAAATGACAGGGACTCTTCCCTGAGCCCTCGCCGTCTTCCTCCCTGGCTCACTCCCCTCTATCCACTCACTCTGCAGCTCATCTCTGCAAAAGCCTTTCTTTTCTAATGCAGTGCTGGATACAGATACCTGATGGGCTAACGCTGGGCTCTGGGCTTGCGAAGGCCACTTGAATTCAAGGGAATTAGTGTCTGGCTGCCTGTCGGCCTGAGTGCAGTTACTAGAGGCTGTCTGAACAAAACTGGACCTCCAAGGAGGAATAACAGTACGGAAGCTGGACAGAAGACCGGGTGCGGTGAGGCTTAGAGAAGCTTCAGCATTCTCATTTGATTCCTCATCCAACTGCCATCCCTGCTTCGGATCTACTTGAAAGACTTCTACTCGAAGGCATGGAAGGGACAGGCAACTTTTCCAACAGGGCCCATCTGGGGCTATGAAAACAGTGACTTATTGACCAGGCATTGTGAAACTATTCTAGGCAATTCCGATTATTCAGAATAATAAGAGAAGGAGAAAAGAAGAGGCGATCTGGAGCTATTTTAAGCTGTCATCTTTCTACCCAGACACCAAACACAAAAGGGTGTAGAAATCTAAACAGGCATGCGGCCTCAGATCTTGCTGTGTTCCGTTATGTAACACGGGCTGTCCTATTGTGCTTTACAGGGACCAGAATGTCAGTGCTTTAAGAAAAATAATGCAAAAAAAAATTAGTATCATTTCCCCCTGGACAAAAATGATCTTCATCCAACATGAGTAAGTAGAGCAGAGATAATAAGACCTCTAAGGCCCTGTAAGACCTCTGCTAAAGCCAAGAGACCATTCCTGCAACTACATTTTGGCTTGGAACCCCAACTCTCCAAACCAGATATAAAGAACCAAAGGGGTGCCCATTGGGTCAGACCTAAAACTGAGACAATGTAAGAACAACCAGAAATGTTCAGCCAAGAAAACGGCAGAAGAGAGAGAGCAGAGCAAGTCGGAAGCCTGGCTGGTATGGACAGAAAGCTCATTCTCAGTGTTTGTTTTCCTCTGAATGACAAAAATAATAATTCTTCAGGCAGCTATGACAAGAGAGATATGAAAGCTATAGATCCACAAGAATGGATTCCAAGAAATCTGCTATCTTTTTCAAGGGGAAAAAATTAATAAATAGGTATCTTCATTTCTGAGAGTTAAAAAAGAATTTCAGATTTCAGGAAATTAAACGGAGCTCCCGGGACATTTGACGGTTGGTCATCTTGACTGAGGTGGGATCATTGGAAACCTGCAGAGCCCTGGTACATGGGGGAGATGGAAGGTCCGATTCCCCACATGAGTAGTTTCTTATTAAGTGATCCTTAGTGCCTGCCGTTCAGCGGGGTGCCCCGCAACTCCATGGTAGTGTGAGGCCACAGGTCAGGCATCCGGTGCCACGTGTACTAACTTCCTGATCGTGTACAATCGGCCCAGGCCTTGGAAGGAGCCCAAAGCATGCATGTGTTTAAGACATGCTGAAGCGCTTTGTTTTGTAGGAGTTCAGAAGGAAACTCTGTTGGGAGAGAAACCTAGTTGACATGCTATGCTGCCTACAGGTGGCACTTTGTGACAAGGACTCCATCGAATGAAGAAGTCACATCTGCAGGCTAAACTATCAAAGGGAGAGAGCCCTGGAAGAGGCAAGCGTGCTGGCTAGGAGGCTGTCCTGAAGCCCCAAGCTGCAGCCACAACCCAGAGAGCGCCGCCTCACCCCTAGGACCCCTGGGTCTCCAGCCTGGGTCTCCGGCTAGAACCTCTAGAAGGGAGCCAGGCCCTGCCCAAGAGGGACTTAAGTGAAGCAATATCTTGGGCAGGAGCCAGTCGCATGGTGAGTCCGTATAACATGTGAAAGCAGGAGGAACCGGCTTTGAGCTGACCGGGACCATGAGCCAGCCTGGCCGGCAGGGAATGGACAGGAGGCAGTGAAGGGAGAGACACTGTGCCACGAGAGGAATCATTTTAAAGCAGCAGAAACTGGCGTGGATACACAGACACTAGCACTTCCTAAAGGTCCCTTCAATTAGCACTGAGTGACACGCCACAGATCCCCCATGTTGAGCATTTGTTTGAATGCATCTTAGTATTAAAAAAAAAAATGGTGCCAGGCGCCGGTGGCTCACGCCTGTCATCCTAGATACTCAGGAGGCTGAGATCTGAGGATCACAGTTCAAAGCCAGCCCAGGCAGGAAAGCCCGTGAGACTCTTATCTCCAATTAATCACCAGAAAACCAGAAGTGGCGCTGTGGCTCAACGGTAGAGAGCTAGCCTTGAGCTGAAGAGCTGAGCGACAGCGCCCAGGCCCAGAGTTCAAGCTCCATGACCAATAAAAAAGAAAAGAAAAGAAAAGAAAAAAGGCAAGAACTTCAATGAAAAGTCTGATGACCCCTCACCTAGGATTTAGACATGTGAACTTCAAATGTGTGTGTGCACACACGCGTGCGTGTATGTGTGCGCGTGCTCTCTACACTACTCTGTCCTCCTCAGTGCCTCCGCTTGCTCTACCCTACGCTTCGTCACTGGGGAAGGTGGGTTCTGTGCATAGGCTGCAAGGGCTGAATGAGAGCAAAAAGAAAGTTGTCATGTGGATTGGGATGGGTGGGGGGAGGGGTGGAGACAACAAAAGCAATGTTAGCGCCCAGTCATCAACCGCCACCCAGAAGCAAGAGGCAGAGAATCCTTTGGCCAGGCGCGGAGACTCCCCAGGGAGGCGCCCTCGAGGGGGGCCCTGCCCAGACCTCAGCGGTCATCTGGGCACCATGAACTGGGAACCCACCCCGAGCCTATGGGCTCTGTGAGCGCGGCTTGCACGGTGGCGAGAATGGATGTGGGCTGGGGCAGGGGACGGGGTGCAGGCACAGGCCCCAGATCCCACCCAGAAGGCCCCCGGAGCCATGGCTTACTGCCGTCGTAGTTGAGCGTGGCGAAGTTGGCCTGCTTCTCGGCGCAGCCGGCGCTGTTGCACACGCGCATCTGCAGCTCGTACCAGGTGGCTTCCTGCAGGTCATACAGGATGTAGGACTTGGAGAGGGAGGTCCGCTGAGCGGTGGTCCACACCAGGGTCCCGAAGGGCCGGTACTCAAGCGTGAAGGAGGTGATGGGGCAGCCGCCGTCGTTCCAGCCCACCAGGCTCAGCCGCACGCGCGTGGTGTTGATGCTGGCGAACAGCTCTTGCTCCTTGGAGAACTGGGGCTCTGCAGAGGAGGAGGCGGAGGTCGGGTCACGCGTGTGGGCACGCGGCAGTGTGTTTGTGGGGGAAGTCCTGCAGCTTCCCTGAGCTTCCTTCCATCCTCCCCAGGAACTCTGGCCAAATCTGGCACATAGGCCCCTGGACCGCTCGCCTGTACATGGAGACTCGGGGATGACCTGGGTGTGAGCAGAGGGCAAAGGCCGGGGGCCGGAGCCTATTGTTGCAGGTGGAAGAGTTTCAGAAGCTGAGCGCTGTTCCCACATCCCGGGCTTTAGTGGTTCACGGGCTGCCATGGGCGGGAGTGGCTGTGTCCCCGGGGTGAATCTGACACTGAAGAGCCCTGGGTAGGATTCGGGAAGTGTCTACGGGAATCCTCCACGATGCAAACACTTAGTATTTGAGCCCAGAGACTTAGTGGATATAATTCCACATAAGACAACTCTTATCATCTAAGCTCTCCTTCTTGTGATCTCAACTGAATGCCACCCGTCACTCTCCTGCAGGCTGAGAGGAATCTGGCAAGGCCGCTCTCCCCTCCACCTTTCCAGACTCCCACGGCGAAGCATCCCTGCCAGAACATTCCGTAAGGGTTGGCCCTCTCCCCCCATGATCCAGCTCACGTAAGGAATACCGAGGTGTAAATACAAAACGCAAGGATGTCTCGGTAATGAGCCCAACCCCACTTCCTGCTGGAAGGCGGAGTCCGGGAGCGACGGGCGGGCCCACCTACCTTTCCCCAGGGTTTTCGCCTCTATGATTTCACTGATGCGCCCAGGCCCCACTCCGTTTTGGGCGGTGAGGGTGAACTTATACCAGGTTCCACACTTCAGGTTTTCCAGGCGGTAAGACCGCTCGCTGGGGCTGATGGGAAAGCTTCCCCACTGTTCACTGTTGTCTTCGGAATACTGCAGGATGTACCCTGGGGGACAGCGGGGGGCGCGGTCAGCATGCGGTGCCCCGGTCAGCAGCTAGCTGACAGATGGACGCATTGTCTGCAGGTCACACAGGGCTCGGGCTGGTATGCCTCGGGAAGAGGACACTAATAACCTTTTCTGATTCTGGAAAATTCATGCCGCCCTCCCCGCCCTTCTCCTCCCCCCCCCCCCGCCCCCCCCCCCCCCCCCCCGCAGAGCAGTGCCGCGCTGTATCCACTGGTGAGACACAGATGCCATCCTACACAGTGTTAGTGTGGAGGTTGTGTTGGAGAGTGAGGTGGAAATCCAACTATCCTGTTTTCTTCAGCTGCTGGTTTCAGACCGTGTGTCTGAACCCTCGCGCACCATCCTGGGCTGAAGCTATTTGTTGACGGAACCCCAGTTCTGGAAAAGGGATGTGTGACTGGTGGCCCAGGAGTAGAGAACGCGGCCTCCCCCACCCTCTCCACCTGCTGCTGCGCTGACTGCCCCCGGGACCCTGGCTCCCATTCCCGCAGCCACCCCCCCCCCCAGGGTGGCACCAGCCCGGCTCTTCTTTCACACACAACGTTCTTCCGACAGTCCAGTTCTCCGCATGACCGCTACTCTCTGTCTTTCTACATTTACTAACCAGTAACCATCCATTTCCCAGCTCTGTCCTGAGCTGACGTGGCTCCCCTCGACACAGAACCTCAGGCAGTGAGGGGCTCCCCTCCCACGAGCCAGAGAGGCCCGGGTCTGCGAGGAAGGCCTGGTCCCCACCGCGCCTGACCCCGCGACCCGTTCTTCCCGCCTGAGTCATCGCCATTAACTTGACTCTCACGTGGATATTCTGACCTTTCCCTGTGTCCTGAGCTTCCACCGCAGGGAGCCTCAGACCAGGCTGACCAGCACCCCGTGTTCGGGTCCCGCTGAGTTCATATTCCCCATTCCATTCCCAGGAGCTCCGTTATTAACACAGGCTACGCCATTTCACCTTCCACGTGCAGCACTGCAGACCTCTCCCCCTGCATCTTCCTCCTCTGCTCATCCTTCCGTCCCCGCAGCCCCTCTGGAGCCCTGGGGCTCTTCCTTTTCTTTTCTTTCATTTTTCATTTTTGTGCTTTTGCTCTGAGATCTTCAAACCTCCTCCCAGACCCCACAGAGGAGCCTGCACTGCGTTCTGCTCTCGCGCCTCCATTTCCTCCCCAGCCGCCGTGCATCCTGGACTTTCCTCTCCACAGATCATCTCAGCCGCCTGGACCCACAGGGTCCCCCTGGCTCTCGGCACCCGCCCGCGGCAGGGCTGTGGTGAGTGATGCCCACAGCCGTCGCTGTGGGCACCCTTCTGGATGCTGCAGCTGCCTTGGGGACTCCGGGCAGGATTGCTTGTCAGGCTGCCCTGTGATCGCCTCCTAGACATTCTCCATCCATCAAGACCTTCGGCTCTCTCTCTCGTGCCCTCTCTGGCTTACAGAATCCACACTTCCTTCTTTGGAGTCTGGGATCGGGGCCTCTCAGGCCCCTTTGTGATGACGGAATGTTTCTCCCGGCCTCTGGCCCGGGCTCTGGCCGTGTCAGGGAGGAGCCTGTTTCCCTCCCTCCTTTCTCACCAGAAGTCACCGGCTTGGGTGACTGATGGTCGCTTCTCTGCCCGGCTGCCCAGCACCACTTAAGAAAAGTCAACAGGTTGAGATAATTGTGAGCGCCGCGGCCTGTGGCGTTTGTGTGCAGCTGGGCGTGCGGCGCTGAGGCAGTGACTTGCTTCTGCTAATGACTCCCTGCGCCTGTCACCCGGCAGCTGCCACTAGGCTGTCCCACGCGCCTCAAACCCACAGGCACAGCCTCAACCCTAATCATCCAGCTATTTTTAAAAAGTAACCTCACCTTTTCCCTTCCTACAAAAATGGGGGGGGGGGCAGAATGGAAGCTTCTCACCCCAGCCAGCAGAGTGCTGAGAACTGTCTAGCAACTGGTTCTTGGAGAGAAAAAGAGAAAAGGCCTCATTGTCGCTTTCCCAGTCTCTGAGACGCGTGGCTTGTTCCCTGTGTGGCTGTAGCCCCGAGCCGGAAGCCGGGAAGGGCTGCGATGCCATCTCTGGGGCAGAAGTGCCGGCTGCAGCTCTTCCTGGCTTCCCCTGGCAGCGTCCTGTTCTTTCCAGTTGTCTTTTTATCCTCACTCCCTGCCCAGAAGAAAGGGCGCGCTTGTTTTCAGGGCCTGCCCTCTCCTCTGTCACATGCTCCAGGACCTCCTATGACTCCGTCCTTACTCTTGAGCATCTTCTGCCTCTGCCTGTAGACAAACTCCCTTCATCTTCCTTCCATCGCCCACACGGACACCCAGACTTTACTTATGCTGGAACGTTCCTCTGCGACCCTCTGCCAGCCTTACTTGCACTTTTCCACTCTGCACCAGCTGCAGTGACTGGGTGCAGAGGTTGCATTCTGTCTACACTCCAGGCTTTCTTCTACAACCTCTTAAGTCAGAGCCATGCTGGAGATACTGGAAAGACCAATGAAGTGTTCAGGAAGAACCAGTCTCCAGAATCTCAGAAGAGAGGGGCACAAGAGGCAGAAACAGAGAGAAAAACAGAGAGACGCTCAGAGGGAGAGAGACAGAAGGAAACAGAGACAGAGGAAGAGACAGAGGACAGAGTGAGTGAGAAACAGAGAGAGAAAAAAACACAGAGGAGAAACGCAGAGAGAGAACCAGTCTTTCTTTTTCTTTTTGTTTTTCATTTGTCATAATTTTGTGAATGAGACTCTTGGGATGAATGATTTTGAGTTTTACCGTGTTGTGTAGACGTAGACATATGCTTTCCTGCTTAGAACGGAAAGCATGTGTTGTATGTGCTGTCTTTAGGAGCAGAGCACACTCACACGCAACAGCTATTTGATGGAGAGGTGTGGCTAGCTGACCGATGCCTTGCACAAGCTGTCGAGGACTGGGGCCAAGTCTAATTACCTCGGATGGAGCTACCCCCGTTGTCTCCAGGAAGCCAAGAAAGAGTGATGGAGGAAGATGTCGTTTTGGAAACCGTAAGCCGAGGCTGGTCGGGTGGCACTGGAGGAGAAACAGTTTTTGGAAAACAAGAATTAGTTTTGCATGTGCTGAATCCTTGGTCCCAGTCATTTACCAAATCACTTTTAACAGCCATTTATTAAATACGTGTTTGAGGTTGCCAAAATACGCAATTCACTTCTGTCAAAATGTCTTTTTTATTGATATCCTGGGCTGAAGAGATAAAGCAGAGCGAATCTATTATTTAAGGAAATTCAACCACATTTCCCTGGGATTTATATCTCCTCATAATTCCTTGAGTTCTGGGCTGTTCATCACACATCGAGATCTTACTAAGGATGCACACATTATTCTACTCTGAGTTTCAGCTGTGAAATTTAAGAGAAAAAAGATTTATGATATCCACTTAGCTGCACTGCTTTGAGGGGGTAGGGAGGGAAAGAAGGAGGGAGGGAGAGAGGGAGAGGGAGAGAGAGAGAGAGAGAGAGAGAGAGAGAGAGAGAGAGAGAGAGAGAGAGAGAGAGAGAGAAAGTCTCATCTACTGTGGAAATAGAGACAGGAGGATTGGGAATTCAAAGTAAGCCTGGACAAAACACAAAGGGCCATAGGTGCTGTGGCAGAGTACTTGCATGAAGGAGGCCTGGATTCCATCCCCATTCCCACAAAAGCAAAATCTTTCTAAGCTCTGCATCCAAATGCAAGCTTCACCCCTTACATCTGAAAATTAGAAACGAGCCATTGAACAGCAGCCCAGCAGCCCATGAACTGAGCACACACAGGACTTGCAGGACAGGCACTTGTAGATGCTGGGTCTCCGTTGGGGACTGACTCTGAAGACAGAAACACTGGAGACAATTTGGAACCAGGCCATGCAAGAAAGAACGAAAGCTTCATACAAAAGGTCGTTCTCTCTTCCAGAGTCTGCCATGTTGACTTGAAAGCCTGAATGCCTGGCCCATCTCTCTAGTATTCTAAAACACTATGCTGTCTCTCAAAATGCCCCGGAATGATCCTGATTTGGTTTAACTCAAAATTTAAGATTGATTTTGCAGTATTGTTCAAAAAAATATTGTTTCCCCACCTCCCACTCCTTTGCATCCCATGAAACACAGTATTGATCTTGTTTATGTTTGCTGTGATCTGTACAGGTGAAACACTTCAACCTAAAGATGCATGCACTTGGACATTCTTCCAGTAAAACAGAGCATCTCCATACACCTTAATCTCAACCCAGTCCATAGCTGCCCGGGATTTCAGCACAATTTTAATATGATAATCTTAGGAGATTGTTTTGTATATTTTAGGTAGTGCAAGAAATAAAATGCACAATTAAGTAATATAGCAATATATTTAGAATTTCTTAGTGCCATATGTATGAATGATATTGATTAATTAGAAGGTATAAAAGGTCACTGTTTAGATTCATTTTCATTTGTGCTCTCTGGGTTACAGATGTACATGGACACAGTGTAATTAGTGGAAGCTCTTAAAAAGGAAATTTTCAGAGATGTTTACTAAATAAATATAAAGAAAATCAGGCTTTTTCAATGCAAAGCAGCATATAACATTCCTGTATTATCTCTGGAATCATACATGCCATTGTTTGATTTTTAAAATTATATTTTCCAGAATGCACAAGTCATTTTTTTTTGGTAATGTGAAAATAGCAATTCGTTCATTCTAAACGCTGCCTTTTCCATGGCTTTGCTGTCTGCCGGGGAGGCGGTAGGTGGGAGGCGTTTTGTTCGGGAGAGTCCTAGGATTCTGTACCTTGCACTTGTAAATTTAAAATAATTTCATCGGATCCCCAGTTGTTGTTGGCGACGCAGCTGTAGTAGCCGGAGTCCTCAGCCTTCACCGTGCGGATGATGAAGCTTCCGTTGCTGAAGACGCCCCGGCGTCCGTCAACCGTCACCAGGCTGGGCGTCCCGTTACTGCCTCACAGGAAGAAAGATGCACAGATTAAAGAAATTACAACCCCCATTAGCTGAGGCTGGGGAGCAGCACCGAGCCTTTCTCTGAAGGAAACAGCACACTGCAAGGGTCATACTTGGCCCCTTACAAGAGGTTTAACTAGGATGACAAGATGAAGACCACCGCACAGCGGTTTGTTTTGTTTTTCACTGTCAGCACTGTTACGCGAGGGCTGGGTCCATGCCAGGGGCTTGGATTCCAGTCGAACCTTTGGTCAAGTGCTGAGGATGGTCCTGGCCACACGAGTCCCTGACTAGAACATTCTTGAGACTGCGACGAAGAAATTCAGGGGATTACTCTGGTGACCAAGGTATATGAGGCAAACTAAGTCTTGTGATCTCTTACACTTAAAATTACAATTCTTCTTTAATTTTTTTTTTAATCCTTACATAGTTGTACAAAGGTATTTCAATTCAACCTGACAATTTACTTTTTTTCTTCTACCAATCCTGGGGGTTGAACTCAGGGCCCGGTCATAGTCCCTGAGCTTTGTTGCTGAAGACTAGCAGTCTACTGCTAGACTGACAGCTCCACTTCCTGCTCTTTTGGTACTTATTTGGAGGTAAGACTCTTGGGCTTTCCTGCATGGGCTGGCTTTGAACCGAGACCCTCAGATCTCAGCTCCTGAGTATCTAGGAGTACAGGCGTGAGGTGCCCAGCCAGCAAGTCATTTTGTGAGTACAGTGCATCTTGATCAGTGTCTCTCCATGCGCAGTGGCCTCCCAGCGAGGCTGTGAGTTGGTTCTCATGTAAAGACGTGTCATCACAACCATGGTGGCTGGGGACACTCCCACACCCGGCAGAGTGCCAGCTGGTATGTATCAATGTCCTGTGGCTTACAAACTTTAAATGCCAATGGACTTAGTACATTCATTTCAAGCATGGATGCTTCTGAAGTTCCTTTGTTTGGAAATAGGCACTCTTCTGAATCCATTACACCAAGTCTCTGCTCATTAGTGAATTCTCAACTCTTTATTTATAACCTAATTTTTCCCCTATGAATAAAGATAAAGCACGTTTAAAACACATATGGACAGAATGCCTCACACCTACTCTCTCCCTTCTATCTTGGCTGCTTTATTTTTTTTTATTAAACTAATTACTATTGAGCATGGAAAGGCAATTTTATATTAAAAAAAGTCCTAATGCATTCTATTTCTTGAAGTTTCTTCTCAGAGCATGTGAGTTAGGATTAGACTGTCCATTATCTCTGAAGTAAAGGCTGATGTGACAGCTTACCATGGGGTCTAGGAACTTGGTCATGTTCATGTCGACAGAGGACCCGGCTGGTAAGAAGCATCACAAGGATGACTAGACTGGTTGTGCTATTTTTCACTTTGAATTTTTCCATGACTTTTAGGGTCTGGGTTTATAAAAAAAACAGATGCACTTGGGGCTGGGAAGGTGGCTCAGTGGTAGAGCGCTTGCCTTGCATGCCTGAGGCCCTGGGTTCAATTCCTCAGCACCACATAAGCAAAAAGAAAAAAAGCCGGAAGTGGCGCTGTAGCTCAAGTGGTAGAGCGCTAGCCTTGAGCTGAAGAGCTGAGGGACAGCGCCCAGGCCCAGAGTTCAGGCCCCACGACTGGACCCCCCCCACAAAAAAAAAAACAAACAGATGCGCTAAAGATGATCCTTTTAGGGCTAGCTCTGAGGTTGTTACCCCCATCTCAGAAGAGAGTTGGGTTTTCCATGAGCTTTCCTTACAGTGCATGAGGGAGATGTCTACCAGACCCAGAGCAAGTCTGATGTGCTGTCCGGGAGGGGGTGTGCACATTACAGGTGTACATCGGGTTACTGGTTACCTGTCTTTCATCCACTTCACTGCGGGCGAGGGGTCCCCGACAGCTTTACAAGGCAAGACAATGTCTTTCATCCAGGGAGTGGTCACCGTCCCGCTGAAGGTGAGGATTCGCGCAGGAGCTAGAACAACACCCCAGGTCAGAGGCCCAGTGACTGCCCACCATCACCTGCGCAGAGCCTGCGTGGTACCCAGGGAGCCAGCCAGCGAGCCTCCCAGGCCACCCTCGTGTGCAGAGATCTCAGCATTTCCCTACAAGAACACACAAGGAGCTGAAAGTCCCACAGCAGCATTTCTTCCTTCTAATGGCTAGATAGGAGAAATCCAAATGAAATATCTGGGGCTTCATGAGCCAAGAAGTAGGAAGCTGCATCTTCTACGCTGCGCTCCTCTACGAGTTCAATTACTTTCCAGAGCATTTATGAAGTGGGTCGACTCAGTACTAAGGCTGCACATTAAAATACACTTTTAATATCTGGGAGGATAGACAATAGGAACATAAAGCCTAATAGACAGGAAGACATAATCAAAAGCAGCTTCTATTAATCACTGCACGGAACCTTCCAGACTCCATGCTATCAGCTAGATCTAAGGCACACCTAGTAAGGAAAACAAGCATTGTTCAGAGTGGCATCTTTTCAAGATCCACCATTTATCTGAGGTTGTAATTCACAGGCCCAAACAGGAGCTTCTTCCAGAAGCCTCTGGCACAGGTGCAGCCCCAGGAGACCGAGACACGTGATGTTCTAGCTTGCCTGACTTCTCGGGGCATCGCCAGCTTGCGTCAGCTAGCACAGCGCCGCGACCCTGCTGGGGGCTGCGGTGGAAGTGGAGACACGGGTCCCGGGACCCACCTTTTGCCAGTGGCTCCACCGTGATGATCTCACTGCTGTTCCCTCGACCTGCGGAGGTGACGGCCACCACCCAGACGCTGTACTGACGGTTCCGGCTCAGGTTGGGAATTCTGTAGGAAAATGAGTCAGGGGAGGCTTCAAACTCGCTGATCACCTATGAGAGGAGACAGAAAGGTTCCGACACTCAGAGAGGGAAGTGGCACGGCGAGCTTTCCTGAACGAACGATGACTGCCTCACGTTCCGGTGCAGCAGACAGGCCTGACTTGCAACAGGGGAACTCGTCCCGTGTCGCTGACCTGTCCTCTACAGAGGTCACCACGGAGCCACTGCACCTGTAGATCATGTGCCATGGCCCTTCCGGTTTGGGCCAAGGTGAAGTAATGAGAACTAGATTTATTCTGCGTGAAACCACAAAAGAGCACACAGACTATACAGAACACACAGAAACGGCTTTAAAGGCTTCATAGGTTGGCTGAGGAATGACAGAGATCTCTGAGAGCTGGGAATGGATGAGGGACACCTTACAATTGCAGGGCTTCTGTATTTCCACAGAGGGAGCTATCACTGGGAGACCAGCTCGGGAGGAAGCGAGAGCAGTTGGGACAGAGTCTAGATGTGAGAGAACTGTGTAAGGAAAACACTAGAGATCTGAAATGGTCTACTTTGGTAGACAGTAGAGAAGGAGTGTGCATGCCTATAAGGAAACTACCGGAAGCCTGGGAGAGAAGCATCTGGAAGGACTGAGGGCACGCTGGGCTGGGAATAGTAAGCGCACATACTTACTGACTGTTTCCACCAGCCAGGTTGAATCTCAAGATCCAAGGGGTGCTGAGTTACATATGGACATCAAACAAAAGTAGGGAACAATTAGCCTAGACTAGTCCTGCCTGCCAGTCTTGGAATATCACACAATTCCAAAGCACATATGTTAGCTAGTGTGTACGAGCTCTGTGTCTTCATGTGTACACCTTCACCAGATCTTGCACCTTCACCAGATCATGCCCTTTCTCCCCCAAAACTCAGAAGAATTTAGCATTTGTTCTTGGTAAACAAAAGAGACAATCCCCAGAGTGCATGCACTTTCATTGTGTGGTATCCCAAGCCCATGTATTGATGCCAACTTAATTTCACAAAGCTTAATGGTGTGAGTATGATAACAACTGCTCTTATTGCATCAACAAATCATTAAAATATATTTGTAAAAGGAAGGGTTTTCTGCCCAGAGTATATAGCTATGAGGTACAGTTGGTGGTTGCTTCCAAAATATACATTTGCTTATTTATCAGCTTCCCACCGTGTAAGGTGTGACTAAATCAACAGGGAAAATACAGTTTCTTAATAACATATTTGCTTCCCCATTTATACAGATAATTAACCATGAACGTAAGTTGAAGCATCCCCTACAGGTGGGCTGGTGTTTCTCTAGACAGCTAACGGGAGCCGAGAGTCTGGCTGCTCCACATTTCCTCATAGTTACTTGGAAAAGTCAGTGCACTGGCATTTCCACTTATTGACACGACTGCTTGGCTCTCTGAAGTCTGAAATAACTCAGCATCATTTTCCTTATATGAAGGAAAGGCAAGTCCAACATGTAAACAAAGACCATTTGTTTCCTTTGATATATATATATATATGCAAAGGCTTGATTTGTTTTCCTTTGATATGTGTGTGTGTGTATGTCACTGTAAATGTGGCATTTCCTGCCATCTTAAAGTTTTAGCAACAGCCTTAACTATCCCCAAAGATTGCATTGCCTTCTTTCCTAACAAGAAACACAAGGCTCCCCATGCAGCCTGGTCTTCACACTGTCTAGCCTTTCACCTCTGGGCTCTGGAGGAGTGAAGCCTCTCTGGAGAGAGATGTCTGGGTTGATTTGTAGCTAGGAATGGGAGGCGGATCTGAGTTCCAAGGAAGTCCAACATTAGACTTGGTAAGTCCGTCAGATCTGGGAAGATGGTTAGTCTGCGGCAGAGCACAGCCCTGCTCACAGTAGCAGAGGGGGCTGAGCTGGGATCAGAGCTGGGAGGGCAAAGGAGGTCTACTTGTGGATCCTGAAGGAGAGAGCAAGACGGGCATCTGGAGGGTCACCCGAGGGCTCCACGTGCCGCCAAAGAGAGAAGCATCAAGATCACCGGGTGTTCATTTTCATCAGAATCCCTCAGCTGTGCATGGGGTGTATTTCAATCCATGCAAGCACTTCCCCAAGCAGGTAATAGGTAAAGGTTTTGAAAAACAAAAAAGAGTGAAACGGGAAGAATTAATCAGAAGCTCATTCAGGCTAGTGAAGCAAACCTAATTGATTAAAATCCTTCTCCTTAACGCTCAGCCAGAAACGTTTATTCTGAGTAAGAGCCATGATGAACATTGCTTAGTAATTAAACATTTGCTTCGATACCCTAATAATAGCAGTTTTGTGTTCTTTTTATTCAGAACCAGGCTTCTGCAGCCCACCCAGCTCACAGTGCGGAAGGTGAGCTGTCCGTCCCGGCATGCACTTTATGGTGCAACAGTCTCTTCAAATCCTGAGAATCTGGTGAGAAGGGCTCCATCTGAAATCTGAATTTCTCCTGATATTTCAGCAGGGGAATACATCAAAGGCTTCAGCATGTGAACGAGGGAGTAGAAGGGGACAGGCAGGGCAATAGAAGAAGGCAGAGCAGTTTACGCAGAGGAAGACTCCCATGTGGGGTCTCAGGGATCACGGAACCAAATATGGAAATGCAGAAGCTTTCCTCAGGATTTAAATATCTAAATATTTACGTCTGATAGATTTTTATCTGCTCATTCTCATTTTCTTGAGGGCTAAGGAAGGGATAATAGTAATTCTAGATTTTATTAGGCCTAAAGAGTGACTTCATCTTGAATGGATTACTAAAACTGGACCAAAAAATGTTTTAAAGGCAGGCTTGGATGATGGGAAATCCAGTCATCAGCATCCTGGGAGCTGGGTCCAGGCTCTGGGGCCAGGAGATGGTCGTGGGTCTCTGTGGGAATTCTGCCCAGTTTTGATTGGCTCTGTGTCAGGAAAGATGGTGTTGATGGGACAATTTTGGACTTGGCTGTCACCTACGCTGCCCCTCTCATTAATTCTGCAAGCCATCTGAGCAAACATGTGCTTCACTACCTTGAAGATCTCTGCTTAGGATCAACTTTTATAATCAACCAAATCTCTTCTCCGCTGAAATCGCTAAGGAGCACCCATGCCTCTTGCATGGTGGTCCAGGGAAGAGGAAGGATTGGAATCACAGGATCCTCACCAGCAGATGCCATTTCACTCAGACTAAACCCAGCATATGCGTGTGTGCACGTGTGTGCATGTGTATGTGTGTGTGTATGCATGTGTATAGGGTGGAACTCTCACTGCAGATGTATACTAAGAATGTTTAGTATATTTCAAACTGGCATGCTGCTGCTGTGTATGGTGGAGGCAGTGCGCATGGCCCATGGCTGATAACTGATGACGAGAATTCTGAGACACAGGGGACAGCCAAATTGCTGGACCACAGTCCTCTCCTGAGTTGTGTTGAGAAAATCTGCACAAAGGCTCCGAGGGTCATACTGAGTTTGCTCCTCGTCATTCCTGAGCTCCACTCCAGTGTGGAGATAATAGATAGGTCAGACGATAATTTGACAGCAAGAGGGTTCATGTCTTTCTTTCTTTTTCTTTGTTTTGTCTACAACAGAAACCCAAACTCAGCATCTAGTGCTCTGGCTCATTGGCTGGCACCTGAGCCACACCTCCAGTCCCAACAAGAGGGCTCATTAAGAATGCCCAATTCCTATTCAGAAACAAAATCATTTGAATTTCTCTTTTAAAACCATTCTTGTCTTCATGGTTGAGAACATGGATTAATATTGGCAAGAGGGGAATAAGTGAACACTTCACGTACATGATTTAGAAATACCTCTCGACACACATACCCGTATATATGTATATATGTATATATGTTTTACAGGACTCTTGACATACCCAGCTCCTCCAGTGCAGCTATGGGGATAAATCTTGTAATGTCGGAGCCAGGCAGCTTGTATTTCAAGTGCGGTCTTTGTGCTTTACTATCTCAGGAGGTCTGTCTGGTACAACACAGGCTTCTCATGAATTCCCTGACCATTTGTCCCAGCAGCTTGAGGAAGGAGACAGGGTTCATCTTTTCCCACGGCTTCAGGCAAAGCCTGGGAGAGGCCCAGCAGGACTCCGCCCAGTCAGAGCTGCTTTTGCTCTCTGAGGTTGACATGATTCTATCTCTCTTTATTCAGAAGATAGATTTGGCAGGTGTGTAGGATAAAATTAGCCACATTGAGCTACCTTAAATGCTCTTTGGTAATGTCCAAAAATTACAGGCTCATGCCTATAATCCTAGCTACTCAGGAGGCTGAGATCTACTAAGGTTTGATGCCAGCCGGGGGCAGGAAAATCCTTGAGACTCTTGTCTCCAATTAATGACCAAAAAAAAAAAAAAAGCCAAAAGTAAAGCTGTAGCTCAGGTGTGGGCACCAGGCTTAAGCAGGAAAACTGTTGGAATGAGACCCACACTCTGAGTCTAAAGCCTCAGGACCAGACAAAAGAAAATAACAACAACAAAGCAAACCAAACCCAAAAACCAAATGTTTACAAAAAGACTGCTGAATTCACTACTAGAGCCCTCCCATTATTTAGCCTAAGGGGTGGGTCGTAAAGCCTTCTGTAATCTTCTCCAGCCTGCCTTCCCTGTGTGAGGATACCCTGTACTGCCCTTCCCTGTATTCTGCTGGAGGCTAAGCCCTTGTTTTGCCAGGTCAGCACTAATCCCTCAGGAGCCTAGTTCATAGCGCTGGGTTAGTATCCAGGAACCAGTCATCAGAATGAACAAAAGAAATCGTTGTGTTAGGTGAGTTTAATGATGACCCAGAAATGATTTGAATGCAGGAGGAAACACTGTGTAGAAAATGACTACAAAGCAGCAGCCTGCTCAGATCAAATTATTCAGCCTGTCTGACGGATGTAAAAATAATTCCACTTAAAAAATTTCAATTAACTTTTTAATGGAAAACTAATTCTATCAAAGAAATAGGCTGCTTTAAAAAGCTCTGATATCTAATTATTAGCATGCACTCTTTAAAAATCTTGAAAGCTCTGTTTTCGTAGGTTGAATGTTCACTGCAGCGATTAAAAA